ACTGAACATATGTGTATGATTATTTCTTGCAAGATTTCTCAGAGCCTTTAATATGCTAATAGGCATCCCAAGTCTCTAGGATAGGGGTAAAGTACATATATCATGTTTTCAGAGCTGACTTGATTATGAAACATTCTTGCATCTCTCCCCAACCCCAGGATCTGAGAATAAATGGGGCTTAAGTTATCCTTCCAGAGATATTTGCGTTTTAATATAAGATATTTAAGAAGTGTTTGTTGGGCTGCTTTTCTTAGTGTGTAATATCCTTAAGGTCAGGAAAAGTGTCATTCGTCCCTGAATCAACAACACCTAGACCAGTACCGTGACCAGTTCTTGTCACATAGGACAAATGGCATGAGATCCACCTACGTTCGTTAAAACAAGAAAAGATTTAAAGCCCCACAAGGCTTACTTACTGGAACTAGAATTTAAACCATCAATGGCAACCAAATTAACCTTCTGTTGCCCTCCTTTTTTTTTTTTTTTTGAGTCATCAATTTCACAGCTCTGAGGCAAGAATTACTAAGAAAAATCAAGAAAAATTGATAAAATCATTTAAAAAATATTGTATTATCATATCCCTTTCTCTACTTTTCTCCTATAGAAAAATTTAGTGTTTGCTAGTTTGGTTTTAATGCTTTTGGAAGGGAGAATCATGACAACAAGGATAGCAAAGCAGAGCTGGAGAGGCAGAAGTGAAAAAGGGCTGAGATTTAAAAGGGCTCTTCTCGAGAGAGAAAGAAGAGTTAAAATGGAAGGAAGCAGCTGCCTTTGGGTGGAGGATAATGAGGGTGGCATAGATGGGAAAGATTTTAAAGATATTTTCTGTGTAACTCATACCCACACCTCCACCCACACACTCGGTTCTGGAAGTTTCATGAAGGACAAAGTAAAATCTCACAGTGCTTTCATATGCATCTTTATTCCCTTTTTGAACTTTCCCGCAGAGACTGGACCATGGGAACCTAATAATATTTGGGTTACATTACTCAAAGGAGAGAAATATGACAGAAAAATAGAACCCTGTCAAGTTTTCCACCTCTCGTGAGAAAGGGAACATCATCACTTGTGAAACAACTATATACAATTCTCGTGATCTATTCCCACTTTGTACTTCCCCAGTGTTACACAAAAATATGATTGTAGATGTCTTTATTAAAGCTTGTTTTTAGTTAATTTTTCAATATTTGCACAATGTTTGTGAAAAATTAGGGAAAGCTATTTTACAATGTACATGCATCTATATGCCTTATAAATAGATATTGGAGAAAGTATTAACAATTCTAATGATTTCATCATCACCGGAATAAACCTCCCAACCAGAGACAGCTCTTGGCAAAAATGATCAATAGGAAACTAAAGTGTATTTTAGGTTTTCTCTAGCACAAGATAACCAGCACTGCACTTCACATTTGCTAGGTCTCAAAAAAAAAAAGATTTTATAAGTTTCTGAATCATCTTACATTGAAAAATTATTTTGGCGGAATCAACTGAACTTCTCACAGACATCACTGTCCTTGATCCAAATATAGCTACCATGTTTGCGCAGGGCATCATGAGTTCCCCAACGCTGAGATGGCAGAAAGGCTTTTCTTTGTATTGGCAACGTGGTATACAGGAGAATCTGCCTACACCTCACTGGGGGAGAACCTCTCAACTAAAGCTTTCACCTCCCTCAGAAAACACATCTGGTGTAGTCTTTATTACTATGAGTTGATTTGTTTAATGAAGTGTTTGTGGAGGTTGGTTGCTAGGCTCAGTAGGCAGGAGGAAAATAAGCCAGGAGAAACATGACGGCAAGTTTAATTCAGTTCACCTACCATTTGTTGAGCAACTATAATGTGGCAAGAGATGGGGATACAAAGACAGATACATGCTCTACCATAAAAAGAAGGAAGGAGAAGGGAAAATGGGGTGGAAAAGAGCAAGATAGAGAAAGAGAGATGGGAGAGAAAAAGGGAGGGTGAAGGTGATGAGATAGAGGAAGAGGAAGGCATATGGAGAAAGGTTTTAAGACAAGCCTACAGAAGAGAGAGAGAAGTTAAAAGCAGGGGACTAACAGAGGAAAAGAGAAGAAAATAATAAGAGAAAGTGATAGAGAAGAAGTACTTAGAAGTGATCCTAAAAGGTCAAGACAAAGAGAATGTTTTGTTTGGGGGCTCTGATTTTAACATCTTCTAAAAAGTTTAACCAACAAAAAGATGGCTCCATTTTCCATGTTCAAAATCTTTATGTAGAGAAAAGTCGGAGAAAATTGTGCTTTTAGAGTTGCAAGGTATATGGAAAGATTTAGAAGGTTTATATGTGGACTCAGGAAGCTAAAAAGGTTATCACAGGTTTTGCTTTTGGAAACCTTTTTCAGAAAACAAAACAAACACTAGATTTACAGTAAGCATGTAATAAAAAAGGCAATGGTGTCTCCTTTCTTTTTTATGCAATTTGTAAGTGCTTTTTCCTTTCTGGGAAAGAAGTGTTTCTTCTCTACTGGTTGAAGCAATTCATCACATTCAGTAAAGTCAGAGTGTCTATAAGTACTCATTATGATGTCTCCTTGAGAAAAGGCAGGGTGAAAATGGTAATGTAGAGCAGGAAAATGGTCGATTGTTTATATTTGGTGTATCATATTATTGAGGGAATTTTTTTAAGTTTGAGACAAATGTTTGGCCCTTTAAAAATACGTGGAGGTGGGTGGAGTGTATTGCAGATGTCTGCTGCACTAGAGGCTGGCTATGCCAAAGCTGTCTGGAAGCTCTGGTTTCTAACTGAAATCTCTTGGGCAGGTGTTATTTGAAGGTCAGTCTTTCTATTGATAAAATACAGAGAGCTTATATTTGGTCACTACCTCAGAGAGATGGAGCAGGAGGTGCTGGAAAATGCCATCAATCATGTTATTATTAGCATGTATTGACTCTCTGGGGTGAGAGGAAATCAGTGGGCCAAGGTCTGTTGTCCCATCTCTTCCTCATGTGTTACCATGTCTGAGGGATGAAGAGAATTGCGTCTCTCGTCCAGCTGTGCACAACACGAAAGCGTTCACCAGTCATTGCAATTACGCTGGTGGGATTTGGTGCTGGGGGAATTCTGTGTGCTGGGAGCCGCAGGGAGGCCATCAATTCATTTCACATATATTATTTCTCTAGGAAACACAGCATAATTGAGGACAATTTTCCACCATGAATTGCATCATTAGCTAACACAGGAGAAGTGAAATGCTGTTAACTTTTCTTTTTCTTCTGCAAAGCTGATGAGCTGAAGAAAATAGAAAAGTTTAATGTAATTTTTTTTTCCTAGGATATATGTTGAAAATCAGAATCAAAACGCTTTTACACGGTAATAGAAATCCCACATTTTAATACATTGCCATGCACATAAGGAGTCAAGTAATGCTGAATACAAAATAGTCAAATATACAAAATGATAAAGCAGATTTTCAAGCCTGATAGAGATCATGCTCACAGATACAAGGGGGGCAAAAATCTGTACACAGTTTCATTTTTATCCCTTTTGTAAGAGTCATGCCCCCCTCAACTCTTTTTGAGGACAACCAGAAACAGAAGGAAACATAAGAATATACAAAGGAGACCCAAAGGGAATTGGCGAGTTGACAGCTGCTTAAGATATGGAGATTGGTGGCTCAAAATTGTGGTGCACAATCATTCTTATGTTTAGAGAAAACAAGTTTCTAAACATTGTATGCCCTGGGAACCCAGGAAACTAAAGTGGACATCCAACAGAAAAGGCACTCTTGTTTTACCAAATAATTTGATTGCCTCCTCCTAAGTATAGTCCTGGGAGTTTTTCTAGGATGCATAGAGAAAAAGAGAAAGAAAGAAAGAAAGAAAAGAAAGGAATGAAGGAAGGAAGGAAGGAAGGAAGGAGGGAGGGAGGGAGGGAGGGAGGGAGGGAGGGAAGGAAGGAAGGAAGGAAGGAAGGAAGGAAGGAAGGAAGGGAAGGAAAGAAAGAAAAAGAAAGAAAGAAAGAAAGAAAGAAAGAAAGAAAGAAAGAAAGAAAAAGAAAGAAAGAAAGAAAGACCCAATAGTTGTGGGAAATGAATACAGGTAATACTTATGTAATTAAGTACTCTTGGGAGACCAACAGAGTTCAGACTGCTGGTTGAACTACTCACTTAGGAAGCTATAAACATGTTGAGCATCTACACAGACTTCTGTGTTCTGACATGTGCCTTTTAGCTATGTTTGTTAGTGTTTGTGAAAGAACGAATCATTATCTTTATCAGCTTCTCCTCCTCCTCCATTCCCATACTCTATAAAGAGAACTACTCATGTTCAATTCACATTGTGTCATTTTTCTTCCTCTTTCTTTCCTAGAACAAACACCAATATGCAGTAGTTCAACAAGGAAGTTCGATGTCCTGTCTGCTTCCTCTGCCTCTCAGTTTGGCACCTTCACACTCTGATGGGTCTTCTCCAACCTGGGATTGGCACTCTTCACCTTAGTGGGTCATGGAGCTCTAAATCTTTGGGAGGTGAAGAAGTGGAAATAAACGGACACCTGGGCTGTAGACTCTGCAGACTAGCCTCATATATTAGAAAAAGTGTGTGTGTGTGTGTGTGTGTGTGTGTGTGTATGTGTTTGTGTAAAATGCTGATTGTTACTTCTTCATCATTCTATTTCCTTTGTAAATCCAAGAATGGAGATTCAGAAATAATAGCCCCACAGAGAAAGCCTCAAGTAAGGGAAAGGAATCATTGAATAAAGCCTGTAACCCAGATCAGCACTCTAATTACACATAAGGGATATTAGAGGCACAGGACAGCTTCTTCCCTTAGTTCATTTCATCCTCCAAACAACCTCATCTTCTAAGGAGAGACAGAGAGCACCCCACACTGAAGAGCAGTGGCCCAGAGAGACTGGGCGATTTCTATTAATCTGGCATTCTTGAATTCAAAACATTTTCTTCCTTTTTATCAGAGCAGTGTCAATCTCCACAAAGTTCTAAGAATAACTCAAGTATATAAACCACAACAGATCAATATTTCTTTTCTCAGGTGCTTTTTACTGTTAATATGGAATTTTGTTACAAGATTGATCTTTTCTAAAATTTTGTGCAAAGCTATTTAATTAAGCGTCTAATGGTATTAAATAATTACATTAACTGAAACTACAGTAGTATGATTTAAGGATACAAGAGTTTCGGTGGAATTAGTCTCCAAATGTTTGTGCTGGCTTGGCTTTTCAGCAGACTGGTTCCTTCTGTCCCAGACATGACTGTGACACAGTGCAAAGTCAAGAGCCTGGTATTATTCAGCTCTCTGCAATGTGAACTTCTTTTACTAGTTAAACCATGGTCTCCTCAAACATCGCCTTGTAAGGACAGCATCTTTCTATTGGTGGAGGAAAAATAGTGGTGGAGAAACCATTCAAAGCCCCAGAGAGCCCTAAAATTGCCTATGTGCATGAGTTTAAGCAAGTAGAACCCCTTTTACCTCCAGTGGGGGCTAACACCCACCAAAGAGGATTCCCTTTCTGGTGATCTGAGGTGGGAATTGAATAAAAATTAAAAAAAGACAAAGGTTCCAGCATTCAAACATGCATTTCCTCCCCCACTCTACATTCATCCTTAAGGTTTCCATCTGTAACTGAAGGCCCTTTTGATGTGAAAAAGAACTGGGTCAGGCACTTCAAAACCTCTGCAGCAGCTGCTTTGTGGGGAAACATAACCTTGGTCCTCTCTCAAATGCACTGTATGGGATCTGGACATGGGGATTGTCAAAAGCAGGAACAGAGCCAGCGGGCAGTTCCCAATGCAAACATGCTAAATGCACTTAATTGTGGTTAAAAAAAATTACTAGAAATACACACACACACATGTAAAGAACTAGAACTGATTGATTTAGGGATCATAGAATCATAGAATCAAGGACCACCAGCACGCTCAAACTCAAATCATATTCTTGGAATTACACTTGGATAGGAAGTCTCTATAGAGTTTAGAAAGGTATTTTCATGGCATTTGTGCTATTTTAGAGGCCATGCTAACTCCTCTGAGGAGATGGGAGAAGACCATCATCAGTTTGTGGAATGGGACAGGACCAAGTCCCAGGTGCTGGAGACATTTAACCAAGCAAAGTTTTCTACAAGGTTATCTTCAAGATCAGTTAACCCAAAGAGAAAGCATGAGCCAGTAACAGTCTCCTGTTTTGGAATTTTTTTTTTTTTTTGCATTAAGTATTTGAATATATTTTTACAGAATTTGGTGGTGATTAAATGCAATCATATAAAACAGATCTGTCTGCTCTCATGCGTCCACTCAGCCTTGACTTCCACATTTGATAGCTGTGTCTGTGCTAATGTGGCAAAAACCATGTGAAACCAACCATTTATTTCCCTTGATCCAAATGACTGAATTTTAAAAGGCTGCAAACAATGTGGAAGGCCACCAGCAGAGTCTTCACTGTTTTAATTGTTTGAGGTATCAGTATCTCCAGTGTTGGATTAATTTAATAGCCTACCTCCTTGACGTTCACATCAGTAGGGCTGTTCTTAATACTCTGCATATGAGGCAAAAGGCCTTGGCTTAAGAGCCTTTCTAAGGTGCCTCAAAATATCTGAGGTTTGGAAAACAATAACACAACAAATAACAAACAAACAAATAAACCTCCCAAACCATTGGCTCCAGGTTATGAAAAGAATTTTGTATGATCAGTAATAATGTCTATCTATGACACTTATTAATATGTCAACCAGCCAATAATAATTCAACACAAGTCATATGGTTACTTTTACATGACATTAAGTGTATGCTGTTGGTGCTTTCTTGTGCTTGATATAATTGTAGGAGGGAAGCTCTGAAAGAAAAATGCTTGAAGTGCATCAGGTTTTTAAATAGCCTTACATGGCAAATCGAACTTCAGTTTTATGATATCTTTGGCATCCGTTTTCTGCTGTTTCATGGAAGTCGTATCTCATTTTGCCCTTGGGCAAGAAGTATAAAATTAGCCCAATGCCGGATGGCTCCTCCCTTTTACATTTGTTGCTGGTAAATTTCACCCTAAAAAATTTAGACTTTAGAAACAGCACTTGCCCTTACCCAGAATTTTCCCTGTGGAGCTAAGATGATGGCCAGAAGGCCACCAGTACTGTTACTGTCCCTTTAGCTACCTTCCCCAAATGAGAAGCATCTACCTTATTCTTTATATTGAGGTGTGGCAGAACCTTCCCATGCACCTAGCCAGCTTTTCCTCAAGTTTCCCACTTTCAAAAGAATGATTTCCATCTTCCCAAAAGCCACCATAGCAAAATAATAGAAACACAGCTCTCTTTTACCTTGAAGCTATGCAGTGGTGCCAGTAATTGGGTGAGTTCATAAACCAGAATTCATAGGATAATCCTCTGGCTTCAGGATTAGATTCAGATCTAAAAAGACTAAGGAGCAGGATCTGGCTTTGAAATAGAGTCCTTAGTGGTGCCCTGAGTAGAAACATCTCCTAGCCTGTCCTCTTTCCTCATCTCAGGACTGCATTGGGATTAATTAATCTCCCAGATGACTGGTCAGTGCTATTAATCCCTACCCCCACTGCTTTTTGGGCAGGAAGTTCTCACCACGATCAAGTTTAAGAAGAAATTGTTAGGACTGGGGAAAAAAGGTGACGACTCCGTTTTTTTGTTGAGTACTTTATGGAATTCTTGAGATCTACCCACAGCATCATATTAAAAGAAAGAGTGATGAAAAGAAAAAAAAACCACCCTAAAATGTGCACTGGAAGGGGTTGGAGGGGTGAATAAAAACAGCCCTAAAGCAATAATGGAATTTATGTCATTTTCAAGGATTAGATTTTTAAAAACAGTCTAAGGCAATTGACAAGCCTAGTTTTCAAGTAACAAAATTATTCTAAAGAATGTAGAGGAAAACAGCACAAAGAAGGAAACTGCTAATGTACTGGAAAGAAAGAGAAGGTTTTGGTGAAAGTAAAGGGCTAAAGGGTTCTTAAAAACTTCACTTCCTTGAGACTTTTATTGTTCCTATCCAAAATCAGTTATGTGACATTTGCAGACAAAGAAAGCATTTGCAAGTAACGAGGGGGAATCTATTAGAGGTTTTTATCCTTAGTTGATATTCTCACGTACAGCTGATTTTCCCTTTCTCCTTGAATGTTAAAAATGGCAGAATTTCCTCAGGTAGGACTGTTAGCCTCTGTCTGAGCAACTGAGAAGTGACTCTGGAGAGATTCCTGGCTTGTCTGCCAGGATTCTGGAGGTAGAAGTGAAATCTGCAGGTGCACACCTCACAGAGGCTGAGCAGGGATTTGAAGGTAGGCCATTACCCACAAAGAAAGTTGATAGGATCTCTATTCCCCTAGGTAGGTCTCAAACTACTGAAGTGATTTGCTTTTCACACTAGCAGGACTGGCAATGCTGCATATTCAGTTCTAGAGCGGAAATAAGCGAATCCCCTTGGCACCATGGAAAGTATGATAATTATTCATTTCTGTTCATTCCCAAGAGTGCCCTTCCTGTACAAGTCTGGCTGTCAGTCTTTTAATAAAGGTGTAGCATAGGTTTAAGTAAAGGGAAAAGTCAAGCATCAACAGGTTACAGTCCTTAGACATAAAAATATGTATCCTTTACTTTCCCATCTCTTGCTTCCTACTAAACAAAACTCACTGCTGTCATTTCTGGATTTCTAGGAGGTCACATTTCATACACGCATCTTGGGAATAAAGTACAGCACAGCTGAAGGTAACCATGGGAGATCACAGAGGACCACCATGTAATAAAGATGCCAAAGCCTGCAAATAAAGCTGTTCCTCCTTCGTGCTGGTTTAACTCTTGGGATTTTATGCCGCCATGTTTCCAAAACTATCCCCCAAAGTGGTTTCAAACAGAGGTTGACTGTTTGGAAAAGAGTAGTTCATATGCAAACACAGAGTTATGTGCAAGGCATTAAGGCATTTTTAGAGACACAGTCTTCACCTGGGCTCTTTAATAGTCTTCATTTTGCCTTCTCCTAGGCCCCTCTTCACCCATCCTCTTTCAATAATTTTACAACACTTGTTTGGCTTAAACAGAGACAAACTAGGAAACTCTACTTATTTAATTATTCGGAATATTTTGCAAAGACCAAAGCAAGTAACAATGAACCACCATCATTTAATGAACGTCTGCACTAAAAAGCATGTCCAGTTTTCCAAGAGAGTCAGCAGTGGTCTCAGAATGTCCTTGGTTAAACCTTCATTCTAAGTTACAATATCTCAGCACCTGGCAGTTCTTAGGCTTCATCAGACTTAATTGTGTGTCCCCTGGACTAGTTATAGAATTGGAGTTTTAGATAATGCAGTGTAGTGGTGAATATAGGTGCCCAGGGTGGATATCGAGGAAAGCAACTGAATGCTGCTTTTGGGAGCTCGAACCAACTCAGTCTGGGCCCTGGAAGAGCTGGCTATACCTGAAAGGTGCAAATATGGAGCCTGATGCAGTTTACTACCTCTCATTCTGCTGCCTACTCCCTGAGGAGCTGTCTGCTGCCATGTTCTTCTTCCTAGGTTATTCTTGCAAAATGGAGGATGCTGTCTAAGTTTTCACTGTGGAAAAGGTGGGGTGGCGATAATGTTTGGGAGTAGGAGATACAGTTTCATAAGGACAGGTGGGAAGTCTGCTTTGTACACTTTGTTACCTAAGCACAATCCTTGGCACATAGTAGATGCTCAACAAATGCTTGCTGAATAAAGGGAGGGATGAAAGGAGGAAGAAGACCTGCTATTAGAACTGATCACAAGAGATGGGCAGTGGAGACTGGAATATTGTGTCCAAGGATGTTGGCAGCTGGAGTTTGGCTCCCTAATTATGGATGTGAAGAGAACTACGTTCTGCAGAGGGCCTGGCAGTCCTGCTGCTGACCTGTCAAAGGGCCAGATCTTGGTGGTGACTGAAATTTCTCTGAGTTCCTTGTTGGAAGCCCCCTTCTCTGGCTCTGCAGCCTAACAGGCTTGTGGTGAGTCATCCTGCTGCTGACTCATTTGGACCTTCCTCCCTTTCCCTGTCAGGTTTCCAAATCTCAGGCGGGGGTGGTTTCCAACAGGCTGTGTATTTCCTGAGACCCTGAGAGGAGGCAGACAATGCTTATGTATCTGGAGACACCCTAAAACATCAAGCTTGCTTGCATTGGAAGTGTTCCAGAAGCGGTTACACGTATTTTAAAGAAAAGCCTCTGATGCCTGTCAGTCCCAGGCTGGGACAGTGGGCACAGGAACATACTGCGCTGAGCTTTCCACTCAGCCAACTTTATATTTTTCAGGAAAAAAACATGCTACAGTGTTATGTAGCAAGTCAATATGCACATGTCTGTAATGCTTAAAGATAAGCGATAATTAAGTTGACTGGTTTCCCAGGGCTGTGCTTTGTCGTAAGACCTAGTTAAAAAAAAAATAGTCATCCCAGAAAAGATTAAAAGGGACTAGTAGGTTCTACACTAAGCAAGGAACCTAGTATAGGACTTGATGCTTCCTTCTCTAGGCACGTAGTGGGGTCACTTGATGTTTCCCTCTTAAGAGAATGGCAATTTAAACTTGACTTAGAATTTTTTCCGAAGTGTTAAAGTCAGACCACACAAAAGAATTGCATTCTGTTGCCCTTACTATTCATTCGCCACGGCCTTTGATTAAAAGAACATCATCCCCTTTTTTTCTTTGGAGGAACTGTTCTACAGAATACCTACATTAGCCAAATAGAAGCCTCCTGTATTTGAGTACCTGTATGTGCCTGTGGTCAACTTGCCTGTGAACAAAGAAGCAAGCTAAGATATCACAGTCACTAGACCCCTTCTGCTTCCCTTTGGTGCTACAAGTAAACCAGTTGTTCAGTAAAGAATCCAGAGGTGAAGTCTAACAGTATCGTGGCCATATTTACATCAACCTACCACAAACAACTGGGGATATGCTAGCAGTGGAGTTTGTCTTGGACAGTCTGAGCCAGGAGAAAAAAAAAAAAAAACACCAAGATTTATAAATGTAAAAAGAAAATACTTGATTTTTCACATGTGCTGAACGTGCTAATTCATCTTGGTGTAGTATTCTCATATAAAGTGCTTAAGAGTTGGACAGAACCTTTAGACATCATAACTAACACAATCGAGACATGTTTACATTCCTACCAGGGCATAATATTGTGAACACTTCCACTGAGATTGCAAAACTGCTGTAATTTTTTTTTTCTAAAACATCATGCCATCTGCACACACAATAAAATAATCCAGTAGTTGCCATGCTAAAACAGGACCTCTAGTGAAGGGCACAGACAGCTCCCCAAAGGGAACTTGAGTTATGCACAGTGATGAAAACTGGAAGCAATTTTCCAGCTAATGGTCTGCCAATGACCACTTGGAACGACTTGGCACTGTATATTATGCACCTCATTTTAAATCCATAGCAAAGTAAGAATTTTCCAAAGCCCATAATCTTTACTGAATGGATGTTTTTTCACTTAATCCAGTTAAATTGTCCATGTTCCAAGGATATCTTCTGGCAGTGCCATGGGTTAGTCTTTCTGTGAGGAACAGGTCATGTTCATATCAACTGGCAGGACAGCAGCTTGGAAGGCTAACCGTGTTTATGGAGAACCCTCGGCTGAGGCTGTAAGAAGAAAAAGGGGGAAATATGGTAAGTGCTTTCCTTTATGTTTCCAGACACTGATATGTAGCAATTAACTTATTCAAACAAACCCTGACACCCTTAGGTTAAAGAAAAAGCTCTAGTCAGAATGATGGTTACTCAATGAAAGGATGGATTTACAGTGGCTTATATTCATGAATTTTTTTCCCTACCATTTGGCAAGGCATGGAAGACATCCAACTGAGAAATAGGTGAAGCTGCCTGGGAGGGAGGGTAAAACCAGATCTCTGGAATTAGCGTCCAACCCAATGCGGTTTGGGGAATGATTTCTTAGATTATGAAGGTTCATGCATTTGCTTGATCTGGCACAAGGTAAGACTGGGGATGGTGTGAAGCATTTTATTTTTGGGGAGAGATGGTGGTTTTCATTCATCAGGAAGATTTCTTGGAATGAAATCTAGAAAATCAAATGTTGGAAGTGGAATGGCTGGAGCTCTTGAGTTTGCTAGTTGCAAAGTCAGATTAGCTGAGCAGGTTAGAGACTAGATAAAGAAAGCTGTTAAATCAAACCAGAGATCAAACTACTTGAATTGCAACCCTACTTTTGGCCTTGGGAGTGCTGGTATAGAAATATTAATATATGTTCCTGAGTTTTCTAATTTAAATTGTCTCATGTTCCCGTTATTTTATTTGGGTACTCACTACAGTTCCTTAGACTTGGGTCAAGAATTAATTATTATATGAGTACAATGCAATGTTTTGCTCAGAAAACTATCAATATTAGTTTTAATACACACAACTATCTGGCAATGGGAGAGAAGCACAGCAGGCGTTCTTGATACAAAAGAAAAAAAATCTACCTCAGTTTTCAAACCTAACTGGCTCTCAAATCTAACTGCCTTTTCGAAACATGACAGAACACACAATTTGTATGCAAGTGTTTGATGAACATTTGCAATTTTTGAGAAAATACAAAAACAAAAGGTACTATATAAGTGTATTAAAATCAAACAATAATACATACTAGTGATCGGATCGGCTGTATTGAAAGCAGAACACTAATTATTGCTGATGGCATTGCCAACCGGAAAAATGTCAGTTTACTTAAAAGCTATTAAAAATGCATCTTCCTTAACACAGTAATCCCATTCCCAGGAGTATATCCTAAGGAAATAATCTAAAAAAAAATGAAAGAAGCTATGTGCACAAATATGTAACCTAGATGTTATTTATAATAGAGGAAAAATTATTGTTGAAGATTTAGGTTAAGTAAATTATGGTACATTAACAACATGGGTAATTGCATGGACATTAAAATAATACTAATTATGATGATTATGTAGCAACATGGAAGCAGTTATGATATACTGTAATATAAAGGTTACATATATGCATAGAAAAGAACTGTATGTGAAAATGAAGGCCCTAGGATTTTTATTACTGTCATCATAGTATTTTGCAAAACAACAAATATTAGGCTCGTGGGGTTGCAGGGTTGCCCCATGACTAACTAAAGCATCGTGATTGTTCTCACTCACTGATACCACCTTGAAAATAAATACTTTGTAATTACATTAAGAGAAGCACTTCAATATTTTGAAAGGGGGAGAAAAACCCATGTGGGTAATGTCCTGTCCAGGCTGACCTACAAGGGGAGCAGTATAGCCTCAAAGAGCAACATTGATTTCTAGGAACTTGACACGGTGTACTATCCTTGAGACTTGGCTAAAATCAGATCCGGAGAACGTGTGACTTTGGAAAAGAATTAATAACCTATAAAATACAATTTTAGAAAAGAATAATGATAATAGTGAGTCCTAATTAATTATTATACTTTGGAACCTGAGTCATGAGTTGATAACTAGGTTTATCGTAGTTGCTGCTTCTTTAAATAACCATGTTTCTTACAATTGTCTCTAGTAGCTGAGAGAAAGCAGATATGTCTAATCTTAGCCTATTAAAAAAGTACTTATAACCTTGAATGTAATCTGAGTGCAGTATACTTTAAAGCTCTTTCCTATATAGTTGTCCAGTCCTCTTCTTAGGATATGTAGAATTATTCCCACTTTATAGATAAGAAAATTGAGGCCCAGAAGTATTGTTAACCCAATGGTCACACAGCCAGTAAAGATCAAAGCTATATCCACATGATACGGTTTGGCTTTGTCCCCACCCAAATCTCATCTTGAATTGTAGCTCCCATAATTCCCACATGTTGTAGGAAGGACCCGGTGGGAGATAATTAAATCATGGGGGTTGTTCCCCCATATTGTTCTTGTGGTAGTGAATAAATCTTACAAGATCTGATGGTTTTATAAGGGGTTTCCCCTTTCACTTGGTTCTTATTCTCTCTTGGCTGCCCCCATGTAAGTCATACCTTTCACTTTCTGCCATGATTGTGAGGCCTCCCCAGCCATGTGGAACTGTGAGTCCATTAAACCTCTTTTTCTTTATAAATTGCCCAGTCTCTGGTATGTCTTTATCAGCAGCACGAAAACAAACTAATACACCACACTTAGGTGTGTCTCCTTCTAGTGACATATAGGAGTGATAGGAACACAGAAAGATTCTGAGCCTTTCCCATCCCATCTTCTGAGTGGGCTTCCATATTTATCCACAAGCCCAGTCAGCACAATGAAGGGCTCTGTTAGAGCACACACACACAAAAAATCAGAGGCTAAAATGAACTTATATTAGAGCAATAAGATATTCCTGTGAGATATGAATACAAATAGAACTAGAGGCCATAGAGAGACAAGTTGAAGGTTTAGATGATGACATAGGACATCTGGGACAGTGCTGGCCATAATGCCTGGGGCATTGGGAAAAGGGATGGCCAGAGAAAAGAGCGTGCTATGGCAGTGCCGTCTTTGCAATCTTTCCATGGTAGTCAGTGATCCTTCATTGCTTTTTGCTGTTTTTACAGTTAGTATTGTATTCCTTTTGAATGGGTCACCATGCTAAGATGGGATTTCTGTGAGGACACGAGGTCCCCATTTACTCAGGCTGTATGTGAAAGACGTGGTAAAAGTAAACCTTGAACCTTAGTCTTTCTTCTTATCTGCTTTGGAGACATGGTCTAGCTCTTGTTGTCCAGGCTGGAGTGCAGTGGCACCATCATGGCTCACCGTAGCCTCAACCTCCCAGGCACAAGTGATCCCCTCACTTCTCAGTCTCCCAAGTAGCTGGGACCATAGGCATGGTATGCACCACTACACCCAGTTACACACACCTGGACCCTTGAACCTTAATCCTTCTGTCACATATGTATAGTGATGGGTTCTGCCAGCATCACTTTGCTAGAGACTTACCTGCAACAGGAATCATGTCTTTGGGTATGTAAATCTACATGAGGTCAAAGTGCAAAATGGCAGTTTGCATTGTATAGTTCTGGCTCTGAAAAGGGGGAAACATGTGGTCTTTGATATGGAACACTCTTTGGACTCCATCCCCTATGCTTCAGCATCCCAGCCTATTTCTAGCTCTGCACATGGGCAGGGTTGTTCCTGGTCTTGCTGATCCTTTCTTTTTGCCTATGATGTCTTCTTTATATACCCTCTAGCACTAGTGAACACCAACCCCTCCCTCTTTCACAACCACCTGGAGTGTCACATCCTTTATGAAGTATTCTTTCCTCCTAGACAAAGCTAACAACTCTCTCCTGTGAGCTAGTGTGGCATCTCAAATTTTTACCAACAAACCCACAATGAACACTTTAGTTTAACATATCCATCACTCCTCCTATTATTTTTGGTGGGTGATGTCATGTCTTATTGTTGTGTATCCTCCTAATGCAATGTGAAGTCTCAGGAATACAGAAAGTGCTTATTAAATAGTTGTAAAGTTAATAAAGAAAAGAATGATGTTGGAGGAGAGTCTTTGTCTATTTAATTCAGCAATGAATTCTGCGTGAGATTCAATCCTGGTCTGCATGTGGAGAGTGGGATTACTCTGGTTTCTTTCTCTGCTTTATCAACTACTCAAGGAAGATGTTCATCCTGAGGGCTGTCCATGTATGGATTTTGTAGCTAACAAATAGTAAGGGGTTCCTTTTCAAATTTCTGCTTGATGAGCCACCATTACTATTAATAGTTTAGACATTCTTGGAATTGTTAGAATCAAGAATTCTTGGAATCGAGTCTTGGAATCAATCATCATATTTAGCCCTATGGTTTCAGAGTCTGGGTTGAGGAGGGAAGCACTGGAGTCCAGTGGTCAGGAGCATGGGCTCTGGCGGATATGGGTTCTGCATCCTAGGCTCACCACTTCCCAGCCCCGTGATGTTGAACACATGAATTTCTCCCAATCTCAATTTCTTCACCTTAAAATAGCAGTCATAATTCCTGCCTCAGTGTGCTGCTGTGATGTTAAAAAGGGCTCATAGGAAAAGCACTTTGCATAGTGTTTAGTAAATAGTAAATAACTGATAGCTACTGTTTTATTATTATCATTATCATGAATTCCCAAAATTCCTTTGAGAAATCAAAGTCAAAGCTCTGATACTAAATATAAGTATTTTAATGCTAAATGTCAATGTTCTAATGCTATAGCTAGGGACCAGGAAAATAAACAAAATGCCCAGAGCTCAAGCCTTTGCAATGTCCAGGAGGCAGATAACTGTCTTCCTGCTTGCCAAGGCCACATTGGGCACGCTCTGGCTTCTGCTCTCTCCCAGATTAGCACAGTTATTACAGACAGTTCCACGAGAAAGGGAGTCTGAAACACTTCAAAGGCAGGAAGTGACTGGCCAGGAGGCAGTGGCCAGCCTGGCAAAAGCTTCAATAACAGATCTGGGATGGATTACGTCCCGTCCCACCTTTCGTTTTGTTTTTTTTTAACTCGTATTTTTATTTTTTTTCTCTCTGTTTTCTCTTCCACACCACCTTTCCTCACTCCAGCAGCACAGGGCTGAAGGGTTGCTGTGTGTGGAGAAGAAGAAAAGATATTATAATCAGGCAGCCCCGCATCTCATGAGCCCAAGGGGGAAATAAGACTTCATCCTTTAAAAGGGCTGTTTAATG